GAGGTACCACTGTACTTAATATAAAATGAGAAAATGTCAAGAACGTAGCAAGTCTTCTTTCATCAAATCAGACCCTCGTTCAGTTTCTTTGGCTCAAATAGTTATCTGTTGTAGATTGAACAGAATCTTTTGCTCCTGTTTGTTAGAGACTAGAGATTGAATGTAGGATCTTTTGTATGTCAAGAAATTGGTTTACCACCTACTTTACCAACTTCATATACATTCCCTTGAGCCTCTCAGCTCATGAACGTGACCTGTAATAAACATATTTCTTAGATTTTATCCTCAGCATCTTTTTTCATTGTATGGGTCAGATAAATGCTGCTGAATTTATGAAATAATTCTGACTCTGTGTGTCTTGCAGGGTAATGATTATTTTGTTTGTTTGTCTGCCCTAGAGGACACTGTTGTAGCAGTATCAGTGACTGGCATTCTTAAAGTATGGATAGTAACTTCTGAAGTGAGTCACATGCAGGTAAGGAAAAGCAAATGTAGTTTCACAGTGATGAATGTCTTTTTCAGGTGCGTGGCTTTTTTATTGCCTAGTCTGATTGACTTGTCTTTTTCATTGCTTGTGTTACCCTTGAAATGTAGATGTGTTTTTAGCAGTACTTCTGTTTCTGCTCAGATATGCTGTTCCTGATACCTAACAGATATTTAAAATTTGTTAATCAGAAAGTTTGTTTCTTTTTCTTAAGCTATGATTAGAATACATTCATTTGTGCAGACAGAGGAGATTTGCTATAAGTGCCCTTTGTTTTTGTTTTCTCCCTTTTGTAAGCTGTGGATTAAATTCACTTTTCAGTTTCAATTCTTGTCCTGTATATTGCCTTTTATCCATTTCAAGAAGGAGGAATACCTTCTTATCATGTTTCTAAGGCTCAAAGAAGTTTCTTCCCAACAACAATTGAATTCTAAATACTGACAGTATGCGATGATGAAATTTTAGAACGATATACCAGATTTAAAAATAAGTAATATATTCTGCCAAACATATTTATATTTTAAAATCAGTCTCTCAAGCTAGGATTCAAGGCTACAAAAGGAACTGGACAAATAGAAATGGAAAAGAGGAATTTAGAAGGGAGGAGTAGAGAAATAAAAGTTGTTTGTAGATTATTGCATAAAAGACTTTACATTCCCCTCCTTTTAATTTCTTTTAAGGATACAGAACCAATCTTTGAAGAGGAATCTAAACCAATTTACTGTCAGAACTGCCAGAGCATTTCCTTCTGTGCATTTACCCAAAGATCACTTTTGGTAGTTTGCTCTAAATACTGGAGGGTAAGGATAACCAGTTAAGTGAAAGCTGGCGTTTCTTTGTTGTTCAGTCTGCTGTACTCAAATTGTGTGTGAGGCATGCATGCAAAAAAATCTCCAGACAGTCAGATTCTAAACTGATTAGTTTACAGTGATTTCTCTGCATACCTAATTGCCTTGGGGCACATGAGCTCACACTGTGGCTGAATGGTTACTTTTATAGAAAGTACAACTGTTTATCTGAACATTAAAGTAATATTTAATAGAACAATCACAACACTTTGCTTTCAAACGTTTTTCTTTATTTTTTTTTAAGAATTATTTTTTATTGATTATATAATTCTTTTGGTAACTTGGCTCCTTTTATGGCCTTTTATACACAGGAACAATATTTCTTTTTCTGCAAGTTTTTGACTTGTTGAGTTGAAAAGCTTTACTGATTGTTTATGTTTTTGTCTAGTGTTTTTTAGGTGTTCTATAGGTATCTTAAAGATGGAAGTTGCCTTGAGTGTCTTTTGTTTTTTGATCAAAAGGGTTTAATAAAAGGATGCAATTACTGCTTTTAATAAATCACTAATTTCAGTTACTGTAAGATCAACTACTTGCATTTATGTATATTTCTTAATTTACAATTGGTTTATGTTATGTAATTATTTTTCTTTAGGTATTTGATGCTGGAGATTATTCCTTGTTATGCTCAGTCCCAAGTGAAAATGGACAGACATGGACAGGAGGTGACTTTGTGTCAGCTGACAAAGTGATAATATGGACTGAAGATGGACAAAGTTTTATATATAATCTGCCAGCCAGGTATGTGGCATTAATAGGGCATAAATACATGAAGATTACTATCTAGAGTTCTGTGCGTTCAGATAGAAGGAGGGACAGTGATACAAATAGATCAGTTTATCAGACCATCTTTTTACTGATCTGTAGCTGGAACATATAACAGTCCTCTGGATTTGGGCACCAAAGGAAACTGTGATCAGCTCTAAATTGGAATATCTTTTTATGTACAGAAAAAATGGGAGAGACTGTGACAGAGATAAATGAAAATGGTTGAACTGGCTTTATTGTACAATTTGTGAAGTTGAATGATGCATAAAGTTCATATTGTCAGTACATAGGTGATTAGCTTTTTTAACTTCCCTGTGAGTAGTTAAATTTAGATCTGCAGAAATTTATTATTTCTACCTCTTTGTTAGTTTTGTCAACTTAATTAAGCAAACCAGCTCCTGAACTATTCTTAAGTTTGGATAACAACTTTTACCCTTACATGGAGGATTGCTTTTAAACAGTGCTGTACAGATAGATCCCACATTTGAGAAATATTTTTTCTTCTGCTGCTGTTAATGTGGATTTCCTGTTTAGACATTTTAATCCAAATCTCCTGAGTTTTAGCTGTACATAAAAATATTAAAGATGTACCCCCCTTTTTTTAACTCTAAACTAGTGTTTCTCAGCCTTGGCAACTTTAAGATGTGTGGACTTCAACTCCCAGAATTCCCCAGCCAGGAATGTTTAAAAGTTGCTGAGGTTAAGAAATACTGCTCTAAACTATCTAGTCCATGTGAATACTAAAGCTGCAGTTTGTGATATGTTTTTTAATTGTCATATGAGCTGGTAAATACAAACTTCCTGGTTTCCAGTTGCTTGCCAGCTAGCAAGTCGTTTCGCAGCGATGTTGGAAAGGTTGTTGAAAACCTCAATCCTCCTCAACTCTATTGTGTTGTAGACCAAGGAGAGGAGAAAGCAGATAAACAGGTAAGACTTTGACCTGCTATATTGTTCAGAAATGCAGAAGTGGTGAATGGACACAGCTGCTAATTTGTAGTACTTTTGAGATCATGGACATGTTGCTGCTTGCTTTTATTTTAAGGTTGATTTAATTTTTTTCGCCCTAATATAGAGTGCCTTCTCCAGGGATATATGTCCAGCACTGTTCCAGATGTCTTTTTGGTGTCTGGCCAAGACATTCCTATTTTTCCAGACATTTTTAATAGTCATTTTGATATATATTACATTGGGATACTTGCTCTTATATAATTTTTATTTTCACAGTTTTTCAGGTGCAGTTTCTTAATGCATTCTTTTGGGTTGTATTACACTGTTTGGCTGTTATTATATTTTTTATTTGCCCCAAAGACTGGGGTAAATTGAAAATCAAATAAAATAAATAATGTTATGTTTGCTTTGTATTTCTTTAACATGCCTTTTCTGCACACCATCCTGAAATTGTACTGTTTATTGATAGTTTTAAAGAATATTAATAATTGCTGATATTGAATTAAATCTGTTTTATATTTTGCACATGTATATTGTCTTTCACAAGGCTCTATGCTCCCTAACTTAGTTCAGCCGACAGTACTGAAATTAAGATCTCACATAGGCATCATAGCATGACACAGGCATGACAGAATTGGGATCCAGTCTAAAATCTGTTTTAATGCCTTGTTTATTTTACAGTTATTAATCTGCCCTCCTGTCACTCGATTCTTCTATGGCCGTAGGGAGTGTTTCCATAAACTATTAATCCAGGGAGACTCTTCAGGGAGGCTCACCATTTGGAGTATTCCAGATTCGCTTGACAAGCAAAATATGACTGAAGGTAACTGTTGTCACAGCATGTAGCAGCACCTAGTAACTTTCAAGCAGGATCAGACCTGGTTACTATTTAGATATGAAATCAGGAAATGTGGAGTTTGGTGTTCTCTGAGTTTGGTTGCTTGCTTGCAGATGCTTCATTACTCAACTAGGTAACACACTGATGATATTACCTAGTTGGGTAATGAAACGTCTGCAAGCAAACAACCAAGCTCAGAGAGCACCAGGAACTCCACAGTTCAGCCCTGAACTACAGATATTCTCTTCTGTTGAGATCAGAGCCAAGCTGTAAGCTTGACTGGTAAGATGAAAACACATCCCCAAAGACAAGCCACTTCTCTGTTGCTGCCATCAGGTGTTAGGCTCCACTTGAGAGAGGCATTATGTGTATTTTATATTTAATTACAGGAATTTGCAGAAATGTTACTCTTACCAGAATGTTTCTTATCATTCCTAGTCTTCTGCATGTGTATTTTATATTTAATTACAGGAATTTGCAGAAATGTTACTCTTACCAGAATGTTTCTTATCATTCCTAGTCTTCTGCCCAATCCTGCAGAATTATTTATCATTGTTTACTATCCTACTGGTAGCTATAGCCAGGTATTTCCCCACCTAGTAAACTCTCTCCTTACTACTTCACTTATAATTCACAAAATCAAATTCTAAACCACTGTGTGAAGCCATGCATAAGCTTAATTTTGTTAGACTTTGATTTAATGAAAATTATCTATAGCATTGCTTTTTCTGAGCCTTTCGTTTATTTATTTTATATTTTAAATGTATTTTGTTTTAAAAATCAGGATTGCCGGTTACTACTTCTGTTTCTCTACAAGAAGCATTTAGCAAACTTTCTCCTCGCCCAGCTGGTATTATAGATCAGTTGAGCTTCATCTCAAATAGTGAGGAGCCTTTGAAGGTGACAGCAAGTGTGTACATCCCCGCACATGGACGACTGGTTTGTGGTCGTGAAGATGGAAGTATTGTTATTGTGCCAGCAACTCAGACTGCTATAGTTCAGCTTTTGCAAGACGAACATATGTGCAGAAGAGGTATGTGAAATAATAGTTTAAAGGGTGCAGAGGTGACTTATTAAGTGGTGGCATTAAATTGGTTACTGTGTTCATATTCAGCTGATATGGAAGAGGGTGTTCTATTTGTACATGAAAGAATACTTGCTTGCATTCATTATACAGTAATTGTTAAATGGTTTTTTTAAATTCACAAATTATGCTGAAAATACTTTGAGCTTATTTCTGAATAATATGGCTATATTTCAAAGAGCTGGAAGCAGTTCCTAAAAATGAATCTTAATTGTCATCATTTAGCTCATGTATTTTGTTCCAGTGTCCTGCATTTGTAAACTGAAGGTGGTAACAGGGCCAGAATACCCATGAATAGAGTATGTAATAAGTCTGTTGTGGGACTGGCCAATAATTGTTCTCGCTTTTGAAATTAGAGCAAAGATCAAAGAAGATAGGAATGTATTGATTATACCATCTTTGTAGCAGCAAAGAGTTTTGTGCAAAAGGGTATCCAAAAAGCCTATCCATGAGCTTGGTGATGATCCTGATGATGATCATCATCCCAGGGATAAATAAGGGGACACTTGAATCAGTTGCTTTACATGCATACACTCATTAAAAATAAACACACAGTTGAATGACTTTCATGTATTGAGTGGTTTATCCTGAATAAATTTACTGTAATGTGAGGCTACCTCAGATAATTGGTCCATAAGTCTCACTTAACACAAAAATGTCAGATGACAAGTACCATTCATCAAAAAATATTATTCGTACTGAAAGTATTACACCTGTTTTAAAGTATCTGCAATGGCTCCTTCTGAGTCCCATTTAGAGAAATAATTACTGCAACATGCTGTACAAGGGGCTACCCTTGAAGACAACTCAAAAGCTGAAGCTAGTCCAGAATACAGGGGTGTGCGTCAGTATGCTCACATAATACCACTACTTCCCAAGCTACTGGCTCCCACTAGGCTTTTGTGTGCAATTTAAGATGCTGGTTGTCACGTACAAAGCCCTTCATGGCACAAGGCTGGGTTGTATGTGGACTCCAGTTATTTCTGCTCAGTGTTATCTAATGGGACTGGGAGGTATGTCTTCTCTGCCACTGGCTACCCTGTGGAACAACATACTCCTGAGAGTCAGGTGGCCCTAACCCTACCATCCTTATGCAAGCCACTGAACACCTGGTTTTTCTCTTTGGCACAGGGCCACGATGTTAGATGAGCCCATTTTTAGCATGTTATTTGTGTAGCTATATGAATGGCCCCAGGCATGATGTGTTTTTGTTTAGGGGATCTTTGGTTGCTTTTAACTGGATGTTAGCACCCCAGAGTCGCATAGCAAATAGGCAGCTATATAAATTAAATAAATAAGGTCTCTTAGAGTATAGCCACCTTTAGTATGTGTGATTTTTAATCTGTTCCTTCTCAGGGATTTTCATTCTGTTATAGAGGCTCCTGATTTGGATACCTCTTAGTTTTGAGAAGATATTTTCCATTCCAAGACAGTGTTTCTTTCAAGCTTGTGTGTGTTTGTTTAGAATTAGAAACCTCAAGTTCTTAACTATGAATTCAAATGGGATTGACTTTATTTGTTAAAGTGAGAGTTAGAACTAGATGTATCTTTGACCCTAGAAGGTGAAACTTTTCTAGGAGTTTTTTGTACATATTCAGGCATTGACCATCAAATGTACAGCAGTGAAATGGTGTAGGTGCATATGCCATTTTGGCATAGGGAATTGATCTCCCTGTCTTCTTGAAGCTTCACTTCATGTGAAGTTGGATATGCTGAATGCCAATTGTATTAACAAGCAGCAAATTAAATGGGGGTAACCTCGTCAAAAAATTAGATTAAAAATGAACTAAGGTAGAAATGGAATACCCAGACTTTATTGCTAATATTTGTTCTACTGTGTAATGTTATTTGTATATCTTTATTATACATACATATATGTATTCCTATTTTATTTTCTACTTATCCTGAAATTACCAAGAATACCTGCATACCCACAATGTGTGGTGTTTTGTGTTTTCTTCCACTTTAATGTTTTAGGTTGGCCGCCTCATAGAACTCTGCGGGGTCATCGAAACAAAGTCACCTGTTTGCTGTATCCTCACCAGGTTTCCTCTCGTTATGATCAAAGATACTTGGTCTCAGGTGGTGTAGATTTTTCTGTCATTATATGGGACATCTTTTCTGGAGAAATGAAACACATCTTCTGTGTGCATGGTGGAGAAATTACTCAACTTTTGGTTCCTCCAGAAAATTGCAGTGTAAGTTAATGAGTATCTCCTTGGCTCATGCCTTTCCTATGACTAATATAAAGAATAATATTTGAAGACTAACATTTTCATCATTGTTTTGTCGAAAATCTTTCTTATTGGCTTACGTTATGTTTATAAACTTTTATTTGCAAACATTTGTATATCACTTTGAAAGTTAAAAGGCAGTTTCTAACATAAAAACAGCAATATAGAAAACAATTACCTAACAAAGAAGCATATGCAACAGAATAATTTGTTTAATTTGTGAAGTTATTGCAAACTTAATTCCTGCTTAATTCAACATATTCTCAGAAATGTGGCTGGTTATGTAATCTCCATAGTCAGCCCTGACAAAAATGACATATTCCTAAGGAGGTGTTGGAGCTTTTTGCAGTGCAGAAAAACAAGAGTTGTGCCAAGAAAAAAAAACCTGAAAAATGTCTAGTCATACAGCTATGCTAGTAGTAATTTTAAGGTATAGATCATTATTTGGAAAGGAAAAGAGAGAGAGAGAGAGAGAGAGAGAGAGAGATCTTCCTAGTCTTTACTGTATTCCAAATACTTCCTAGTCTTTACTGTATTCCAAATCCCTGGAGACTATGTAGAGGACAAGCAAGGGGAAGAGGAGAAAAAATCCTACAGTGGATAGATGGCGTAAGTGGGATGTGAATTGGCCGTCCCAGACCCACCCATTTTTAAGCTCTAGATCAGTGTTTCTCAACCTTGGCAACTTGAAGATGGGTGGACTTCAAATCCCAGAATTCCCCACCCATCCTATCCATCCCAATACTTTGAAGGAACACATTTTTACACTGAAAACTTACATATTAAGGCTTTCCTTTTTTTCCTGAGGACTATGATTAGCTCTGAACATTTTACTTTGTCTGTGCTGCTTTTAGTTCTTAGTTAACAGAGGACTGTATCAAAACACATTTCACAATATTTGACTCCCAAATTCCTTTTTGAAAATTACTTTCCCTAAAGCCATGCCTTATCATTACTGTGCCCTTTCATAATACATCTCCTTAAAAGGTAAAGTCCCAATGGTATGCTTAAAGTAATGACTGAAAAACAGAGACCCCACATTTAATAACACAATCACTGACAAAAGCTAGTGTGGCTTGCATATGGATGTAGCCTTGTTTAATAATACAAGCAATGACGGAGTACTGGCGGTATTGCCTTAAAAAGAGAAGAAAACAAAATCTTTTCTTTAATTTGTTGACTGAGAACATCTATCTTATTAACCAATATTTTAAATTTCCAGGCCTTCCTAGAAATTGCCATCGTGGTCAGTCCTTCGACACTGCTGAGCTGACAGCATTTCTGCATTCAGCCTCTGCTTGCATAAATACCTTGTAATTCAGCTCTAGAGAGATGGAATTCAAAGGAAGAATCTAGGAACTTTTGAAGCATAAACAAATTCATAAGCTCTAGCTTTGAGTGAAGAAGGTTGCAGGTTCAGTCCACAGCATTTCAGCTTAGGCTGGGAGAAACTCTATCTGAAACCCCGGAAAAAGATTGCCTTGAGCTTGACAGACCAAAGATCTTTCTTAGGCTACAGCAGTTTTCTGTGATCCAGGAAGTAGGCCAGAGCCAAATGCAGGATTGTATTTGAGCTGCAGTGGTCCAAGCTGCTGTTTTTAGTTTAGCAGCTTAAATAGCACAAAGCAAAGCTGATGTTGGATGTAATTTATAGTACTTAAAGTAAGTTGATTTAAGGTTAAATGTTCATATTGCGGTAACTTGTGATTTATGGGTTTGAAGATTAGAAAGGGTGGCTTTTGGAAAGAAGGAAATTATGATGTTACCTTAGAGAGAGAGGGTAAAATATAAATGTATCTATAACGGCTATCAAAAAGATCAGAAGCCGCTTCTTTAGAATTTTCCTTTCCTTTCCTTTCCTTTCCTTTCCTTTCCTTTCCTTTCCTTTCCTTTCCT